ACTTAATTTCGACATCCCCATTACCATAAAACGCCGTAAAACCCTCACTAGTTTTACGGACCATGACGTCTGTGAAGAAGAATACTAGGTATATTCAGTCTGTCGTCTTTTCTCACTCCTGATATATTCTATAATACGCGGTTACATGGAACTACCTGCATATAGCATAAGCATGATACATGCAAGATTGGCTATGCACCTTGTCTTGAACATACCTGCATAGGTCTATGTAGCCTAGGCTCACATATCACGAATAGATTTGTTGATTGGAAGCGATCTAGCAGGGTCAAGCACATGGCATTCGATCGAGCTGATCTGCAAGTCTGGGGTGTTAGCTACTGGGGGTTAGGCAATAGGTCAGATAATATAGGCGATGTTAGATCTGAAGAAACCATACTTCCGGTTGTTCCAAAGCAGTGAATGCGAAATGAATTTAAAATTGAACTAACTGCAATAAACTAACCGTATTCTAATATACAGACAATTTTCTTAGCGTCTTTCACGAACGAACGAGAGAAATAAAGGGCAAGCGTGAGTTGATCGATTAACTGACGGCGTAAACGGCTGATAAGTAAAATAATATACCACTACTACTTGTAGGCGACCGCGCTGCCGTCTAACTTTGCCGCACTTATATACGCCGTAATTGCTGTACCGGGGGATCCATGCCATGCTATGAGCACTGAGATGAGGCCATGAGGAACCACGATGTCGGATATCCAGGATTTTTCTCTCCCGTCTAGCGTAGTTTACAACGTGCTAAAAAGGACTGCCTCCACCCTCTCGGTCCCGCCCGCCCGACGGCGTCCGGGTTCACGATCCTGCAAATCTGTCTAATGTAGGTTAGCACGCGATGACCGGGGATACCGGCATACTTCACCACATAGTCCAAAGTGAACAGTGTAGTATGGAACGAAGCAACTGAGCCGTGGGCAGTATACTGAGGCTGAACTACTTAGTATATCTCTAGCGTGTCAATGATGTTGATAGTTGTTTCTCTCGTCTCAAGAAGCCTTCTAGTATATTGAAGTGAGCGCTTCCATCTTTCGTACTGTTTTCATTCTGGTCTTTTGCCTCGCGCGAACCGGGATCTCCGGATTGGATAACGGCCTTTCCTACCCGTCAAGCTTCCGATGATACGGACTTGTGATAGATGATTCAGATCTACGCGCGAAACAGGCGTGGGAAATAAAACTGGCATACTCAGTCTACTTCCCCTCTTCCTATTTCGCTATTTTGGGTTGGAATAGCCTATCGTATTAGCCTTGAGCCCAGACCTACGCCAAGTATCCACGCCAAGTATTCACACCTCTCCCAAATAAGCCTCAGCTCTACGTATCTAGTCTAGATACCAAGTACGAGATGGCCGGGAGCCATGAAACCGTGAGACAAACAGCCGATCCCGTTGCCGCGGGCATCAAGCAAGCAACCAACCTACACTAACTAGTGCGCACTATGGAAACCAGACCAGTACCTTACTATAGGCAACATGATACGACAAAACACGACATAACATGATATGATAGTGTACCCTCATACCAAACGAACGCTTTTCGGAGCGGATGTTGCGCAGCAGGCGGCGAACACCATGCTGTTAGCCATGCTGTTATTTTCGCTACACTGCATGTATGTATATAGAGTGTCGTCGGCAAAACTGTAGTTATGCGGCACAGCTTGTTTTCTAATTCTTGTGTAAGCTGCCTGTGTGTCAGCATGCTGAGCAGCGTGGTTGGGCGGAAGCGAGGAAGAAAGAAAGAAAGAAAGAAAGAAGAGAAATCCTGCCCGCCCCTCTCATTCGATTGATCATCTTGGCTGGTTTGCGGCAAAATCCATATGTACAAAGATTCCGAGGAATAGACGAATCGTGAGGTTTACTAAGTAGGAATACATAAAATCGTCGGCTGAGTATGGCGCCATGTCGCCTCTTTTCTTCCCTTAACAGTGAAAGGTTACGTGTTTTTCTAGGTGTGTAATTACGCAGCTTAAAGTATGCATTCATCTAATTATACATACTCAGTATATGTGTGTTCTAGATCGAGGCACTTCGAAATAAATATCTGCTTCGGATCAGTTTATATAGTTGCGCAGCTGGGGGAACCCATCTAGCTGTTCGAGCGTCTTGTGAAACGCTATGCGCCGTCTTCCTAGCTCTCCATATAGGGTATCACGAGGAGATGCTTCCTATGGGAGCATGGCCTCTCATTTGTATCCATTTAACACAAAATGAAAAAGGCTTAACATGTATGGCTCATGTGTATGAACGGATAATATTAAGAGTAATCGATCTATCTGCAAAGGGTGCTAAATGAGCAATGAATCCAACGCCATTCTATGCATCATTATTCATTAGATTGTTCCGTAATCCAGCGTACCTATCCCTCTTTCTCTCCCTCTCTCGCCGTCATTCAGTCAACGTAGGTACTCATGTTAAAAATTACCACGGCTTAAGGGATAGGTCGTCGAAGTGGATGAGCTTCGGTATTAAAGACGAATTCGTCCAGGTTTATCAGATCTGGAGATGAGAATATCAGGTAGAAGTAGCACAAAGTCTCGGCCAGCCAAAAGCTCTGCAAAACAGTTAGTAAAGTATCCCATCACATCACATGTGGTGTATGCGTATCGGAAAGGGGGATTTACGCACCTCCATGGAATCGGACTTGACCGTATCAGTCACCTTCACAGACTGAATCGCCGAAAATGCCAGATCTGTCTCGGTCGCTTTGCGAATCGCCTGGAACATCTCCCAAGCCATTTCCTGATAATCGCTATCTCCCGTCATACGGTACATGAGGAACACGCTCTCGATAGCCTCGGGCCTGAGGATATAACGTGGGTCTTGGACGCTCTTGATCCCCTCCTTCAAATTTGTATTGCCCACTATATCCCATTCTTCCTGGTTCCACTCGCACGCTTCGAGGCTCTCGCATTTCAGTAGAGTCATGACCTCAGGCATGATACCAGCCGGCATGGCGTCGTATGCCCACACGCAACCCTTTGTGAGCTTCTCGCCGATTGTGACGTGCTCTGGTATCTGGAACAACTTCCCACCCAGCCCAAACATCCCGCCAGCGAAGCAACAGAGATGCTGGGCTTGGGCGGTGAGCGTCGGAGTCTGACCGGAGACCCAGACGTTGCCGGTGAACAGAATATCGGCTTGGTCCGGCAGTTTAGGTCGAAATAAGATGTTCTCGATGGCCGTGTCCATGGACGCGCGGTATAGCTTTTCGTAGACGGGCTCGAGCCCCCCAAGGATAGCGAATGTTTTGGGCAAGTACTCGTAAAGACTATCGGCAGATGCGCCCAAGGTGAAGCTGTAATCTGAATCCAAGTTCAGGTCTTGTAGGTCCAGATAGGTCGACCACATTCCAGGAAGGCTTGTCTTGTTTTGCCATTCATCGAGAACTTCCGTGACTCGGTTTATAGCGTCATAATACTTGTCATCACCGGTCAACTGGGACAGACGAGCGAATTCCAGAGACGACGACGCAGCGGCGGCCGAAGGTTCACGTGTGCCAGCTACTTGTTTGCCCGTCTTGGCGTCTTGAAAGTCCAACCAGAAGCCGGGCATGCGGTTCGGGGTGTCGTAAGCCATGCAGAGCATGTCCCCAAGCTCGACAGCCTTGTCCAGCAGCGCCGTCTCCCTGCTCAAGTCGTAGGCGCTAAGCAAGCCGCCGAGGTGGCGTATGGTGGTCTCGAAGTAGTTGCAGGACGTGTCGGGCGACTGAGAGTAGTCAATGGTGACGGCAGCGGCGACAGCATCGTGGAATTCGTCGGTGAGGTCCATGATCCAAAGGGTCGACAAAGAGTCGACGAGGGAGGCACCCCATCCGCCAAAGCCGGGCTCGTTGTATCCGCCTCCCGACACGGGCAACAGCTCGTCCCATCCGAAACCGACCTTCTTGTAGCTAGTCCAGCTCTTCACAAAGGCGTCCTTGACCTCGCTGCGGCGCGATGCCAGGACGGCCTCCCGTGCGACACCCTCGGGGCTCTTGTCTTCTTCGAAAACATGCTGGACGGCGGGCAACGATCGGGGCTGGCCGGGGGGCAAGGGGGCATATTCGGACACGGGGAAGAACTGCTTCTGCCGGGACCAGTCGTAGCGGTCGTGGACGAAGACGAAGCCCCAGACCACGTCGCTGTCGTCGGGCACGAGGCCGGCGAGCAGGTACACCAGCGCGATCAGCAGCAGCGCACCGACGATGCGCGACTTGCGACGGAGGATCGGGGTCATAACGTCCAAGGGATGGTCTCGAATGTGCCAGGCCACATCTTCGGCGAGCATGGGCAGCACTCCTGCTCCTGGTCCTGTGCGACCGCGCGAGCCGGGCTGCTGGGAAATAGTCCTGTTCCTCCCACGCGGCCGCCGGATCGGATCGTGCGAGACAATTGGCGCCGGCGCATCGACGACAGTAAGGGACTTCACTAGGGGTTATTTTTACCAAGTATTCAATGCAAACACTCATTAAATAAGCCTGACACCGTCATAATACGGCCGTTAGAGGAACGTGTGCTCTGGGCTGGCTTGATAACCTAAGACAAACAGGGTATGCGGATGTTGGGATGGGAAGCCAAGACAAGCCAAGAGGCTAAGAAATCACCCGAGGATAGAAGATAAGCTCGTTGGTTGGCTGCTTGACACATCCCACAGACAGGGAAAGCCCCGCTCGATTAGGTAAATCGCCCACTAGATTACCTAGACTTTAGCGCTCTACCACTATATTATACCTATGTGCCCTAGCTTGCTATAGGCAGCTTCTAGGGACACTTTTTAATCCTAGGTCTTTTATTATCCTTCTACAAGCGGTATCCAACTTCCATGATGAACAGCCACCTTATAGGCTTATGAAAGAGGCACACATCACACGAGTATCAGAACCTGATTTGCATGATCATTTCGTAATCTGTAGCACTTCAGAAAAACAACGCAGATAGCTGGTGACAAGATAGGCAATTTAAGTAGGGTGAAATATAATAGGTCACAACGCTGCAAATCGCATGTCGGGCACATGGTCTAGTGGTATGATACTCCCTTCGCATCTCCGACTGTGTCTGGGAGGGGTCCGGGGTTCAATTCCCTGTGTGTCCACGTCATTACTTTTTTATTATCAATAACTTGGAATACTCATGAATTTTCTTGGTACGACTATCTTTTTTCTTCATCTTATTCATACATGAAGAGGTAGGTGGTTCAGCGGATATTATAAATGATCGCTGGGTAGTTACAGGACTCGGCAAGACACAGCTGAAAGGTTGATTCACAAGCTTTATATACCCTATGATGGGAGCATGACAATAACCTTCAAGTACACCCATTCCCCCGTCCACACTAGGGGTTCTGCAAGACTTCTAGTACCCAACAACAACAACAACAACGACGACGACGACGACGACACATCAGAGGATATTCATACTAGTAATGAAAGGAGTAGAAAGCCCCTGATCATCTGTTTCCACGGCTCGGGCGAGACATGTTCGCCGAGCTGGGATGCCCTCGCCACCAAGCTGGTGACGGAACTGCGCTGTCGCGTCTTACTATATGACCGTGGTCCGGGGAACCAACAACCAGCCGACGTCGCGGCGCAGGTATGGGAATATGTCACCAGAACCAGCGATCAGAAGAAGACCGAGGTTGAAATGCAACATCAAAATCCTCGCGATGAATGCGGGGTAACTCATAAAAATCGTAAACATCACGACCTCGACGGTCCATACCTCCTCATCGCGCATTCATACGGCGGCGCCTTCGCGCGCGCATTCGTGCAGCACGAATCCATCATCTCGCGACGACCGTGGCCGTGGCAACGGGAGGAAGAGAGTGGCGGCGACTGCCAGATCTTCGGCCTCGTGCTCGTCGAGACGGGCCAAGAAGGCGGTCTCGATGCTGCTCTCGATGAGCGCCAGATCCGCGAGGTCGTCATGGGGACCCGTCCGGTGTGCGTCATACGCGGGAACAGTCTGCTACATAAGTGGAAGGGGCTAGAGGAGAAAGCGCGCGCGGTGGGTGGTGTCGATGGGGATGATATGGCCACGACGCAGACGATGCGGCAAATGCTGGTTGCCGAGAGGGAGGTGCTGGAGCACATTGATGCCGAGGACGAGAGGCTTAAGCGTAGACAGCTCGGCCTCTCGAGGACTAGTCGGCTCGTGCATTTGCGCGATTGTGGACATCATATTGTTCGCGATCGCCCCGGGGACATTGTTGATGCTGTGTGGTGGGTGCTGGAGAGTGCGGATCGTGTCGAGGACGATGAAGGGGGAATGAACGCTTGGAAGGGGACCCTGGAGAAACTGAGGCGGTTTGGCTTATGGCGGTGGTGACTTAGTCGATGAGGTTTCCTTGGGTCGATTTGCATATGCTCTTGCTTTCGGAGGCCTGTCTTACACAACTTCACGTCTCGACTACTTGACGTAAGAACTAAGTGGCTGGTAACATGTATGAAGATGACTGACTCTTCGAAAAATACTCCGAGGGTCTCTTCTCCTTAAGTCGGTAGCGAAAAGTTCAAGTTCTGCAGGGCTTGCCTGCCTATGAGCGTAGAGTCTTAGTAGTATTTACTATTATCTCCAGTGGATAACATGATCCCACCCGGCTACCTCCCACAGTGGCCTCGACTTTCAGCCAGAGAGCATTTTGTAGAACACTCGAAAGATCTTTATACAAAAAGGTTACAGAATTTCATGGAGCATGACTACCATGCAGTGTATTTGAAGCAGGGGTATATCCAAACCATGCGCCGTCTATAAATCAACTCAGCCCTTCCCTTGATCAAGAGGGTAAGCTTCCAACGCCCAATGCTTGCTTTTCTTTTTTCCCAATCCAAAAACCAACCCAAGCCCTGCAACGTGCCGTGATGCTTCATTTCCAAATAGCGACGCCAGGCCAATGCTAAAAGAAATTGCTATAAGAAGTCCATAGAAGCCGAATCGCGTAAATTAAGAGAAACCGGGGAATACTGTCCGTGCAGCACGCTTCCCTACACCGAGATTAGCTGACTCGGTCTGGAGATAGAAGGATTATCAGGGTGGGGGGCACACATTGAGGACGCCCATCATCACTATTTGTTTCATCGATAGGTGTGATCAGCTCTTGCATCCGTACTCTGGTGGGACCGGGAGCGCTCGGCTGTTTCTGGAGTTGTATGGAGGTACCAAGCTCTATTTCCGTCGATACTCTACCATGCGTAGATTGATTCTCGAAGCCGTTCCTACTCAGCAGCCGTCGCCACCCATCTCTGAAACCGGGCTGGGCGGAGCGGTGTGATCGGAGTTTTCGAGTGCTGAGCTCTCTTCGAACCATCGAGTTTGTAATCTTAGGGCAGTGACCCCGAGGATACATGGACGCCTTGCAAAGGGGGCACAGAGAGCTCATCTCATTCAAAAACTCATCAATACATTCGGGATGGAAGATGTGACCGCAGGATAGCTCGCGAATGATTGTTACCTTGGATTCGAAATCTTCCAGGCATATCAGACAAGTGGGTTGATAATCGAGCCGGTCACCATGCTTCCCGCGGTTGAAGCTAGACGATGGAGAAGCAGAGTCTGAAGAAGTCTTGCCGGGGGGTTGAAGGGACGATTTGCGGAGATTCGACGCCAACGAGACGGGTGGCGTATAATTATATGTAAATAAAGGGTAGTTTTGAATGTGGGTGAGAGGCACAGTGAGTCGTTTAATGCCCAGAGCTTCCAGGTTTACCTCGCCGTTCATGACACGACGGCGGAGAGAGGCCCGTCGGCGGTTCTGGACATAGTGCATCAGCAATGAAGTCCCTCCAATGACAGTCACGAGTACACCCAGGATAATCAACACCAGGGCCCAGATGGCCAGCAGTGAGGATTCAGGGGCCACAGTTAACTGTGTCCAGATCCGCACGTAGTCAGCCGGATTGGGAGAATACGTCTTGTTGATCTCGTCGGCGTAAGGGACCTCGGACAGGTCCCCAGAATATAAACTCAACTGCTGCATCATGCGCCCTCCCGAGCTGCTTGAAACGGCATAGACAGGGAAATGATTTGACTGCTTCCAACTACGCCCATTATCTATGTTCCAGAGTTCTGACTCGGCCTCAGGTGGTTGGCCGTCTTCGTCGTCTGGGCGGTACACAATCATGGCGCGTAGAGGATCCATCGATGCGGCCGCCATGAAGGACTTTGTACAGCTAGAATTAATCCAGGGTATTAGTGCAATAAGGATGTAGTCTGTAGGTGGAAGGTCGGCCTGCCGCGTAGCATTCTCCGGTATGTATTCAGTGGATAAATTATAGCACAAGTCATCAGAGACGAGATCTGGAACATATAGAAGACCTTGGATGGTCCCTGAAGTCGTGGACACATCAGTCGTGGAGATAGTAGTAATGTTTTCTGGGATAGTCTCCGAATATGCTATCTGGCTCTGATGGAGACCGATGTTAGGCTAAGAACGATTTCCGAAGCACTTCTTGGGACATACCGAGAGGGCCGTGATATTTTTAATAATGGTGCTAGGGACAGGATGTCCATTGGATCGAGAGGGATTGCTGAATAACAAACTGTTCTCGGGTTAGTGCCACATGTTAACAGCAGATGAGCTCAGAGACAGCTAGGCGACGACGCCAACGATACAATAAAAAGGGCATCATCAGCTACAGGCAGGAGATGAGGAGAGGGCTGATGCGAGCCGCGATGCCGTTGTGTCTATCAGAAAAGCAACTTGGCTTGGCCCTGGGTCTTGGCAAAGACAACATCCCGACGGGATGTCAATCCAAAGGGCCGGGCCGTGTGCTACGGGGATAGGGGGGTTGAGGAAGATGTGGTCAAGCTTTTTCCAAGATGACCGAGGCTGGCGGCAGGGCGATCTGGCACGGGCTGAGGTGGGAGACAAAAGAACGTTTTGCTTGGCAACCTACACGACATTCCGAATGGTTTGAAGTGCTGTAAAATCACGTCAGTTGCCGCTGTGCCAAGGAGGCTTAAAAAGAGGGCTGGGTTGGCGCCAAGAGCCCGGATCAACCACCACGATAAACCGTGATAAACCATTGGCGCGCGCAGGCCCAACCGGACGGTAAGGCGAGAGCAAACAATAGGGGGGAAACAATGTTACTTTGGATCCCCATGGGCGGCATGAAAGGTAAGGCCAACAAAGGTAAGGGACATGGAGAGGCAGGACAGGCCAGGGAGGAAAGGAGGCAAAAAGCCAAGACACGGCGCAAGACATACACATGCTCCTGAATCATCATTCACGGACGGTCGCTGAAACACCGACAACGACAATCGGCAGCCGGGCGCGAGACCGAGACACACACAAGCACGGCGCACACTTACACTCGCACTCGCAACTCACGGAGCCGGGGGGATGATGCGGGATCGCGATACGGATAGACAGGCAAGCTCAGAATTGAAATGAATGATTAGTCCACACAAATGGCTGGCAGGTGCAGTAATGACGAGGCCGAGAGAGAATGGGCGAAAATGTTGTTCTTGGCAAGTTGGGGTTTATGGGGGGGCGGACCAGCAAGAGTAGACCTATTCTATGCCCGGACTGCGCTGAAGGCTCCAAGTGGGCTCCTCCAGGGATTCTGGTGATATCAGGGAGACAGGGGTTGTTGTGTGTGTACCTACACGTAGTGTTTTGTGTGGGGAGGACCTGTGACGGTTGGTGTGGTAGCGTACTAGTATAGACCGAGTAAGTGTATGTATACTAAGGTAGTGCACGGCTTGGATTGGGGGAATCTGTATTGAACGCATGCTAGTATATATAACTCTACATACTTGGGCAGTCTACGTAGATCTAGACTGTTTACAGGGGAGGTCGTGAGAGTTGCATTTGGGTGGGTTTGGTGCGTATACTACGCTAAATTGATGCATCGGTTGGGAGGAGTTGGGCACATGCGAGGTTAATTATACTTGTACTATAAATCTAAGTGCTGGTTGTATCAGAGTAACAGGTAGCCATATATCATGTAGTGAATAAAAGCAGGCGCTAGTACACACTCTCGTATACACTAGCACTATATAGAGCAAAGACAATATCAGTTTAATGAATAGATGGATTGGCTGGTGTTGGGTATTGCATGTTGCTTGTGAGTGGATGAATGGATGGATGGATGG